GACACTTCTGAGCACATGCTTCCAACTAAATATGGTTTCTTTACCTCCAAAGACCCGCTAGAAGGCCAGGTGTACATAGACACTTTATACATGGTTTGTCTGCCTCAGCATTAAGAAAAAGAGCTAATTCATGTGTGGGTGTCTCTGTGGATCAATCACAGATCCATCCACAGTGAAGATAAAATAATTCCAGAATTATAAAGTGAATCCATGGGGAAATGGGATTTGACTGACAAAAACTGGATTTGTGTAACTTTTCAGGAATGCAGCCATCCTGCATGTGAGGTACTGCAGCAACTCTTATTTATTCTGTCACATGTACTTTTGAGGCAAAAAGAAACTCCAGCCATCTGCAAATCAAATCTGGGGCCTGATAGGTACCATCCCAGATGAGTAAGGAATGTGACCTTCCCTTTCTTCTTTCACTGGGTTGATGTCATCTGATCCTGCTACCTACCTCTAACCTGCATTTCTCTCTTCCCTTCCTTTCCCACTACCCCTTTGTCATTATACAATGTGCATAAGTGCTCTGCTTTAAAATTCCCTTCAAAGGAAATGGCTCATGTATAAACCTTACAAATGGGCAATATCTCCATGAGCTTAAACCTTGCACTTAATTCTGGGCCACATTTACAGACAGATAATTACTGCTCCCAGAGGAAAAGTGAGGGGCTTCAAGTACTTAAAGAGCTGTATATATAAGTCTAGAAGGCAAAAGTAGATCCAGTGGGTAGGAGATACAGGCAAGGAGATTATAACTTGACAAGTTGAATCTCTTCAATTACAGAAAGGCTTGCCTTGTCCAGTACTGAACTCTGTCATCGGGCTTAACAGACCTGAAAAAATTCCTCATAGAAGTACAATGAAGGGTATGGCAGCACTGGATAGGAAAGAGGTAAGTCTAAGTCTAAAGAGCCTACTATTCTGCAATAAATAGTATTATGAGACTCATTTTTCCATAATGGAAGTACACAGCTATACATATCCATGTGATAAGATGGCTTCACTGAAGCTGAATTTTAGGAAGAAATAAGACAGGACATGGGCCCATCCCTCATTCCATAAGCAGGGAGTAATTCTATCCTACATTTGGATAAAAACGGATAAGCAAACAGATTTGAACACAGAAAAGGGGCTGGAAAAGATAAGAGGCAAGGACCAGGTCCTTCAAAATCTAATGGGCAAAGGAAGCTTTTTTAAAGCAAAAGTCTACTCTAATAGGAAATTGAAGATTCTGGTTTTTCTGTTTTGGGTGAGGAGGAAGAGAATGGAAGAAATTATCTCCTAAGCCCTGCCTGTGTCTGCATGGGCAGCTAAAAACTATACAGCTTCTTCTCCAAAGAGCTCCTACAGACAACCTCCTCCTTGACCAAAACACTGCAGGGCTGGCAAAGATTTCTACACAGATGAATGAAAGGCTTCTGAGAATGTTACTTCAAGACCAGTCTTTCTGGAATTCAGCTTAAATCTCTTGGAGAAAAGCTGGTTAGTCAAAAACAAAGACATGAAAAAGAATACTGTAAGATTCACTGGGCCAACTACCATAATATCGTACCAACACTTCTCCAAAACTGCGTTATTAATGTACTAGTGATGATATCTTAGAAGTCTGTGCATCTCTGTCGTTTCAAAAGCTAGTCATAACATCTTGTTAACATATGGGACTCAGGTTATTACTGTTCTCCAGGCTTATGTGCCCCAATTGACCACAGCATTTTCTCTGCACCAGGAGGGCTGTTGGTAGAATGTTGCTACTTTTGTATTTCCTTCTTTAGAACCCTCTAAGTCAAACCGAGGAGGAGGGATAAAAGGACCATATAACTTACTGCAACAAGTAAAAGCCAGGATATGTTTAGTGTATTTCCTACAATTCACTGGTGGATTTTCCCTTTCTTGAGAAAATGGTGATCAAAAATAACTTTACGCATGGCCAGTGTTTTCCACCAAGTCATTTCACATGGTCTTATCATCCCGCACACAAATGTTCCTCCACTCTGGCACTCAAATCATCTGCTACGCACACACCCAAATTAAGGAACAGGAGACTAAGGAAGCAAGTCACACAGGCACAAGCTTTACATTCCCGATAAGGTCTGCTGGGAGTGACAAATATAAATCATGGTCTCAAAGTAACTCCCCTCAAAACCCCTATTAATCATAACAGGGAAAATAGTCATTTTAAAGTAGAGAAAACTGGCAGGCACCACTGCCCGTACCCAAGTGACCAAAGCTAAAGGCATGAGCAATGAAACAAGTCGACATCAGGGGCCTGCTGACCCGATGCGCAGAGCAGAACACGGCACTTCTCAGGGGTTCCTGCTACGCCTGAATCTAATCATGAGATTACACAATCTACAAAATCACTGGCCTGTACTCTCCACAGATTCTGAGTCATGAAAGATAAAAAAAGAAGAGAATGGAAGGAAGAATGAGAGAGTATACAAAGAGCACTTGAAAAAATTACAACTAGATGTGATCCTGGCCCAGAAAAGAGACCACTGGCAATATATAAATAAAAATCTGTAGATTAGGTAACAATATTAAATCAGTGCTCATACCCAGAGTTTTATCCGTAACTGTCATACTTTTGGTTATATAACAGAATGTCCTTGATTTTGGTAAATATGTAGTGAAATAAATAAAGGGGATCATGTCTATATTTGCTCCCAGATTTTCAGAAAAAAGAATTGTATACATATATACCTGTACATCCATATATGTGTACATGTGTACAGATAGAAGGGACAGAATATGACTAAGTATGAAAATATGTAAATGTTAGTATTTGGGGAATCTGGGAAACTTTTCCTGAAATTCCTCATAACATTTTGCAACTTCTAAGTAATTTTTTTTTAATTAAAAAGGAAAAATAACCTAAGTGGGCCTATGCTGTTTGAGGAGGGGGACTGTAGTGGACCTCTGTCTCCTCTGCTCCCATCCCCAACACTGAGAAGCTCCGTAAAGTCCTGGATTTCCCTGAGAACTAGTGTGGGGGATCCTGAAGTGAGCTCCCTCAGGGCACCACTGTCTCTCCAAATTGGCAGAGCCTAACACAGGGCCTTGCATATACCAGAGACTCAAGATATGGCCAATGAAGGAATGAATGAATGCACTGTAAGAAATACCTGAAAGAAATTGGGGGCCAAGCCCAATTTGTGGTGCTCCACCTCCAAAGCTGGTAGCATGTGGCCCTCTTTTATAAACAGCTAGGTGGGAATGAGGGGCAAAAGACAACTGAATGAAGAAGGGGAATTGAGCACCCTAGAGCTGGCCTGAAACGGCCCTGCTCCTCTAGACTGGGGGAAGAAGGGCATACATTCCAGGTACTATGTGTTCCAACGCCCAAAGTCCCGTTGGATCATGCATAAGCTATTTGATACACTGAGATAAGAAGAAATGGAGACCAAGATTTCCCAAGATAACATAAACACTGAAATAGCTCCATATTTAGTAAATCCTTCATCACGAACACAATGCCTCATTACATTCCGTTCTTACCTCCCAAACCAACTAGTACTTGGAGTTTCAAGTCCAAATTGACTATGCCCATGAGGTCTTAAATTGGAATCATTTTACTTACCAAAGTTCAAGAAAGCTTTGAAAAAGTTAACAGATGAAAAACATGACTTTGCTTCAAAAATTTAGCTAATTCAAGAACATCCTAACAAATTGCTGTTTCAGAAGCATTCAATTCTGAATAGAGATGAAGGGAAAAAAAAAACAATCTACAGACCACTTAAGTGTTAAGTATTAGTGGATGTTCCTATAATCCACAGAAAACTGGGACCTACAAGAAATGTGCTTTTTCTAACCACCAAGATATGATTTCACAATCATGAACACTGTGTGGTAATATTCCAGAAAAAAATTAAACAAGGTGAACCATGGCACATAACAGAGGGTAAGACTCCAAACTGAAAACTTGATTTGCATATTAATTCAAATAAGGACCTGGTGCTTTATAAGGAATGTAATTTTCAATGAACCTCCCAGTGAGATTGCTATACTCATTGGTAGGGAGAGTGGTTCACCAATTTATTTGAAAATGAGCTCATATGGCAAACCCGAGTCATAAAGGGCAGAAAAGAAAAAGCCCTTCCTCATCAATAAATAATAAACAGTGAGCCTGCAGAGGAACTGGAGTAGGCTGGCACAGCTGTCATCTCTTCCTCTTTACTTGCCACGTATGGTACACCACGTAGTTCTGTGTCAGAGTCAGAGCCTTCCTCTGACTTAGAAAGGATGGGTATTTAGCTCACCCTCAGAGTTTCAGTTGCCAGTTACTAGTTTCTTTGTCCCTAACACCCTTCAGCTTCCAATTTCCCAGTTCAAAGCAGTCCCACCTCTCTAAAAGAGACTGTAAGAACCTGGACATATCATATCTCCTTATAGGTACTTCCTGAGAAATGCCATCGGTATAACCGAAAGAACTTAGAGTAAAGACGATGTGTAGGAAAGATACCTGCTGAGCCCCCAAGAGTAGAGCCAGCTTTGTCCCTTCTGTGCTCAGTATCCTGCCTGTGTCAGACATGGTCTAGGCCTTGGGCTGTCATTGACAGAACCCTGTTGATGTCAGCTGAAATCACAAGGACTCATGGTGACCTGAGGCCTGACCTAGGGTTCTGGAAGAGGCAGAACCTTTGGACAGAACCTCAGATCTGTACGCAAACAGATAAGATGGTGTGGTATTCTTCATACTTCAATACTTCTGACTCAATGTCCATCTCCCCCACATATAGGCCTTCTCATTTCCCCAAGAGAACCCCATACTTATAAAACCCCTCAGGTGTTCTACAATTAGGTTGATAATGGCGCTTCAGTAAAAAGCAAGCCACTGTCTATTTTTGTCTGAAGAGGAAGCCAACACACTGGAACATAGGACAGTACGAAAGTTCTTGAAATTTGAGCCTGCATGCAGGTCATCAGTTCTTAGTGTGATATTACCAATGAAAAATGCAGAAGCTTTGCCTCTTGGTCCCCATCCAACTGGTTCTTCTTACCTTTGGTTCCATTGAAATGAAACTGTGGGTTCCTCTGCTCGAGAGAACTGACCTTTTAATCGTCCTGCTATGGTAGAAGTGGTAGTAGTCCTTCAGGGCCCCGATCTGCAAGGACAGGAGAGGATGGGCAAAAGAGAGTTAATGTATAAAAACTGCCGTCTGTTTTCCTGTTTTCATTAAGATAAGGGCACAAAACAAAAAGGGTCCATAAATTATGCAGTAGCCTGCTATGCTCAAATGTTACTTGAACCTTGGTGATCACTTTTCCAAAGAAGGACACGTGATATGAAATGGAATGTCCTTGAGGCAGTGACTACAGAACTAAAGATTATGAGGGGGCAGCTTAGCCTCTGCCTATCTCCCATTTAATGTTTAATTTATATGCAGCATTTTAAATAATTCTGTATCAATTTATATCCAAATGTGGGAAAGAGTGGGGGGAAAAATCAAATAGCTATCTGGTTATAAAAACACCCTGCACTCTGTTTGCTCCAAGGAATGTACAGTGAAGGACCTTGTTAGATTATTTATATCATTAAGTTGAAACAAGTCCTAAGCAGTTGATCATTCATAAAGAAAACACCAGTTTGTTTCCTGACTTCAGTACACGGTATAAATACATAGCAGTTATTCATTGATTGCAAAACTAAAAGTGGAAGGGCAATTTCTAAAACAAAAACAAAGATCACACATCCAAGCTTCCTGTGCAAAAATTGTTCTATCTATTTTAACCACTTCTTCCGCGAATTAGTCTTCCCGGTGGTGTACCCCTTCTGTAATTAAAAAAAGTTAGATCTGTTTATGAGAGCTTTGAAAATAAGTACCTGATCACTCTAGAAAAACAAATGAACAAAATCCCAATCATGTTCTCTCAGTTTATGAAATGTGGGTCGTATAATGAAAACAGGACATACAACAAATGAAGAGAGGGGTTCTTGGTTCTACTTCCAGCTGACACTCACCACAAGTGGCTTCTTGGCTAAATCACATATACTTACTATGTCTCAGTTTCCATTTCTATAATATTGGACTCTGGCTTACTTAATTCCTAAGATCACTGCAACTCTCAAACCCCATTCTTTAACACTGACTTTCCTTGCTTAGGGCAAATGCATTAAGTGGCCATTTCTCCAGAACACCATGACTCTGCCAGAAAGTATGACCATCATTGGGATATTTTCCAAATGGGACAATTCAAAAGTTGGGTTTTTCTAATTAAGAGGAAAAAAAAGTCATTGGCCCAGTTTAATTTTTCCAGATAAAAGGTTTACTTCTTATTCCTTTCTTTTCATCACATTCTCAGTCATGATCACACCCTTCCGGTAAGGAGGATCAATCCAATTTTTGTGCCATTTAAAAGTCATTTCCTCACTAGGATTTTAAGCTCTAAATGAATGTCTCTAACTATCATTAAATTTGAAAGTCTGAAGTCTCACATTTTTGACTCAAGTGGTAACTACCCAGATGTACTCCGAAAAAATCCTGGATTCTGAAAACAAGTAGGGAATGAGGATGAGAAAACTCCAGCTGAAACCTCTAATCTCAGTGATTCTTGACTCTGAAGCAGCAAATGAGAAAGAGGGCACAGATGCTAGCCCCAGTCTCCAAGAGTGTTTCAAGGAGGGATTTACAGGCTAATTTTAAGATTCCAGAGGACTAAGGGTAAAATTCAGGAGGCGCCATCTAATCCTTTATAAGAAAATCTTAAAATCCCAAGAAGCTTAGAGCTTTCACCTCAAGTAGTTTTTGTCAAGATTGCTCCTTGGGTACACACAGCAGTTCTTGTGGAAAGGAACAGAGAATCTTGAAGGAAGAACTTTATACAGAACTGATCACCAATGTGAAAAATGCCAGTGTGTTAAAGACCACATCCACTTAGCTATAATAGAACCTCTTTGATGATCAGAAATGACCGAATTCAACTTAACTACTAAGTTCGAACTGTGGAAGGACTACAGCCTGAGGACATAATCAGATCCCCTGTTGGTACAGACTGGAATCCTGGCCTACTGTGGTGTACAAGAGGCTGGAAAACAGAATGCTTGTCCTGACTTGCTGTGATATTGGAGACATCATTTAACTTCTTTGAGCCTTGGTTTCCTGAGCTGTGAAATAAGGACACAAGAGGTATAGTAAACAGAGACTGGGCATCGGAGTCCCATGGGGGATAATTATGTTTACAGGTTAGTGTGGTTGTAAGAACTGAATGTAGCAATAGCTGCATTGCCTGGTCAAGTCCTTGCCTCAGACACAGAAATGGGTCTGAAGGTTATCAGTTTTCCTTCTGAATTTAAATTTGAGTCCTACCTTCTCCTGCCTCCAAGCCTTTAATTAACCCCTCACGTCTCTTGGTCAGGAATCCTCTTGGTCTACCAAGGTCTTAGTGTCTGGCTGCCAGGTTCCTGGGCATCCATTTGCACATCCTGTTTCACTGCTGGGTTCGTAAGAAGTCATCGAAGAGTGACAGGGTCCTGGGGCAGCTTCCTCACCCCTCGGCCTACTGGCTGAGGCAGAAGTAGAGGCTCTCCTGAGGTCCCATTCTGTGGTATGGCTTCAGGGGACATTTGTGAATGGCTGGCCCTCCTGATTGATTCCAGAAGCTATTTAACAGTCTATACTGACCACTTTCCAAAGTAAAACAGCTAGTGGATTTAGTAGAAGGCTCCATACTAAGTTTAAAACTGGATAGTTCAGAACTTCTGAAAAAGAAGCTATTTATTTACACAATCTTATATAACTTAGTGAGTTATGTAACTCAAGTCATGGGTTGTAGGCCCCAGTGAGCCACAGGCCACTCGATGACCCATGGTTTCTGTTCTGACGTCCTGTCAAATGACTATATTTGCTTTTAAGTCTTCTCAGAGCCATTGGCACCACCCTCCTCTCTTAAATCTACACAGCAGTTGGAATAAGGCCAAAAAGTACAAATTTGGCTATGTTATATGTCATACCCCTGCCTAAATCCTTTAGTGGTTTCCCTTTGCTCCTGAAATAAATAGTAATAGTTAACATTTAATATTATTTAATAATAATTTGTTATTTAAAAGCAAATCAGAATAATATCATATCAACATTTATGGTATGCCAGCAACTCCTCTACTTACTTCTGCTAACTCACTGAATACAGACCAAAGACCATTATCCTACTCTAACCTGCGGGGCCTGCATGATCCAGCCCAGCCTCACCTCTACCCGCACCTGCTCCCCATTCTCTGGGTCCCAGCCACGCTGGCCTTCCCAGTTCCTTTACTGCTTCGCAGCTGCCATTCCCTCTCCCTGCAGGACCCTCCTCAACCTCCACTCTCTTTCCACTTGGCTGCTTCTCCCTCATCCTGTGCATCTCACTTCAAGCAGGATGTTTCCCAGACCAGGTCAGGTCCCTTTACTAGACCATTTCACAGAGTCAGGAGAATATACAATTGTATACTTTGATTAGTATAACTATTTGTTGAATGCCTGCATCCCCACCGGTCTGACTATATGTTCTAATGAGGCAGAGACACATCTGTCTTGCTCACTTTTTTGGTTTCAGCAACTACTACATGGCTCAACACACAGTAAGATGGCCGAATGGATGATGTGAAGATCAGAATCCTTGAATCGCTAAAACTGCATACATTAGAGCTGATTCAAAATCTCTAATATGAGGATCAACGGACCAACAAATCAAAGTTAATTTCAGCAAAAATGGTTTAATTCTACCTTAACCTAAGAACCAACTGTGCCAGGGTTATGGCTCTAAAGGCTGTAGGCTGAGACATTCCAATGCATTTTTTTTGGCAAGACAATAGCCAAGGCATAGTGTTCATTAGCTCAATTATTCTACCTAATCCAAACAAAATAATATAACCACCTCCCAGAACTATATGTGTACCTACTTTAAAGCATGTTCATGTCTCTCATCTATTCATATGAGTGTCCCTTATTGGCAAAATTGTGTCTTTTATATTCTTTCAACAGCACTGAGCATGCTGAGGGCATTTAATAAACATAAAGAAGAAAAATGTCATGACATGTTGGGAGTTATTCAAAAGAAAGTGTATGAAAACAGCAGTAATATTATCTATGAGCAGGCATTCCATCTAGTCCTCCAGGGTGTACTACAATGTAAAACAAAAAATAACAGTGTTTATATGTTATGCAATAGCAACAAGAGCTAAAACAAGGAAAAACATTGGGGACATTTTATAAATAAATTAGGAACCATAGGAGTATATGAAGTATAAGTTCAATAGCAGATAGATCAAAACACAAAGCCTTCCTTACCACCACAAAAAGGAAAGAGAGTCTTTCCCACTTTGCCCTCTGAAGCTCCTCTTTTGTACAGTCATATACAAACCCTGTTCCCTTCTAGCAACACAACTCTATAAACAATATTAAGTGGATGAATTTCATATTTTGTTCCCAATTATGTCAGGTGTTTGTACTTTTTCTTCCTTAGTGGTTGCCCCTTACCTTGCACCCAGAATTTTCCTATCACATGCCTTTCTCAAACCAAATTGTGTTCTTAGAAAAGTTTTTAATAAACTATTTTATACTAAGGAGTAAATGACTGGCAAGACTCAATGTCTTAGTTCCTCCAGGGACAACTGCAGTTGGTCAGAAAATTAAAGCTTAATCCAAACAAATGAGTTTAGAGTGCTTATAATTTTAAAAAACAATCACTGTCAAAAGCAATCATTGGAAAGACCCATATTTTACACTGGCTTTACCCATGAGAAGCTATGTGGCCTTTCAGAATTCACTCACCACTAAGTCTCTCCTGTGTGTATAGCTAAAACCCTCACAGGTCTGAGACTCCAGGCATCGTTTTCCAGTTCTTCACACACAGTTCATAGAGTGCCCAACTGTGCCAGTTTGCCCAGGACTGAGGTGGACACAGGACTTTGCAGTGCTGACCCTAGGGCCAGCCCCAGGCAGACCTAGTCACCTTGGTCAGGAAGTGCAGAGGTCGTGGGCATTGTGACCTCCTTGATGAACATGTTGGTTCTCTCAGACTACTTGTCTGCCTTGTTTTCTCTCCTGTTCTCTTCAATTTACAGATTTCTGCAAATTCTGTACTTTTTAAAAAAAATGATTCACCTCCATTCTACAAATTTTTTTAA